CTATTTGCTCATCTAGGAATCAAGAGGGTTGGGAGTGAAACAAGGACAGAGCCAGCATGTGTGGGGACATTGAAGGCAGGGCCAACATGCAAACCCCTGAACCTCATACAAAAGTTTGAAGCATTATGCCTCAAAATGGTTAATATTTATTAAGTAACTTTATGAAAATGGTGGCTGAACCTGCAACGTATCATACATCAAGATATGAATCTTCCTTTGAAGAATTTACAAGATTGGGTCAATGTTGTATGCAGGGAAAATGAGAACAGTAAGTATATTCACAAACTATAGCGTTTGCGAGATACTCAGCTCTAGAGTCCTGAATGATTACTAGTATTCTTCTTATCATGACTGACTTACATTTTGGTGATAATCATAAGAAAGATATGGAAGACCTAGCTTATAAAATCAGAGGTGGACAGCTTTTGGCCCTCCTTATGTTTTGGCCTACAGCTCTTTTCATTCTTCACAATTGGCAGTGATAGCTAGGAATGATGGAAGTTGTAGGCCAAAATATCCCAAGGCTCACAAATTTCTCACCTCTGCATAAGTGATTCCCACATAGGTCTTGTAGAGTGGAATGGAAGTCATGACATACAGATTACCCAGTGCATAGCCTCTTGTCTATTCACAAATTCAGGGTATAGACAGCTCCCTCTTCTGAAATCTGATTTTGTTTCTGGCAAAGTGCCTTTATCAGCTGCTTATTGAACAGATGAAACTTTCCTTAAAAGAGTCTACAATTTCATGCTACCCTTAGCTGCAGTTAGCTCCCTTGGTACAACTATACCATCATGTGCCAGATGCTTATTGAGAATCTCCTGCAGCTGTTTCCCAATACTCCAGACTGTCTGCACTTAAAGGTTAGCTGCTATGTTTTATAGGCAGAATTGCCTTGTACCATATTTCCCCCTCTGCTTACAGGAAAAAAAAATCAAGAACAAGGAGAAAGGATATTTATATTTGGGGTCCTATTTGAAACTCACATGAAAAGAAGGCATATGCCTCAGTTTAGCTCTGTTTTTATGAGTGAATTTTTAAAGCAAATTTAATTATTGCAGAATGCTTGTCTTTGCAGTAATGCAATGTATAGTGCTGGCAAATTGCTTAAATTTAATCTTCTTCAGAGAAGTCTGGTATATAACCTCAGAGAATCTGATATAGATATTATAATTTATTAAAATTTATATGAGAAAGAGAATTAAAAATTTCTTCTGAATTTCTGGCTCTCACCCATCAGTGTGTATTTTCCTTGTGACTTTGCTGCTGTTCTTAGGGAGAAGATTTCAGGAATGAGACAGAAATTGGTAGCCCATCCAGAACAGATTTGTTATCTCTGCCTTTTTAGGAAAACATATTTATTTCAACTTAAAGGAATGCAACTTGGAAGAATTTTTTTCTCTAGCAACAGCAGACCTGCTCAATAAAATAAATGAGGACATTTATCCATCTTTACCATAGGTAATATAGTAAACAGAATCCTAACATTTGGTTGCAATCAAGCACAACAGTCTGCACTGTTGTGATTCCTCAGAAACAGCAGAGATGCCTGTGGAAAATTACTTCTGTGGCATAATATGGCACCTGTCAACCTCACATCAATAACATTTCTGGTGGCTCCTACTTTACTAACACCATGCCTGGTCTTATCCAAAATTACTTGATCCAAAAGCTTGGTTTCTGAAATGTCCTAAACTTTAAAAAACAAAACACCTTAAAAGACCACACATTATTCTTAAAATCAAGCAGTGTTTATATCTTACAGTCTTATGCAAGGACCTTAAGGTGTTTGTATGTTTCTTCTCCTGCTCTGCTTTATCCTCACAACAACCGACTGAGGTAGGTTAGCCCGAAAGATGATACATGGTTTCATTTCACCCAAACCTTTTTGCAAGCTATATTGAATATGTCCTGATTAACAGCAACAGCAGCTAATATAGTCTTTGAAAAGACTTTTTATTCCTGTTAAACATTTAACTATGGGATATTTACATATAATGTTGAACTACAGTTTAGCATTATGTGAACATAAAGTCAGTGTGGGTGAAAGGTGTGGATGCTAATACTTTTGCTTCTGTTTCTAACTAGTTATAGATGCAGTCAGTGTGGGTGAAAGGTGTGGATGCTAATACTTTTGCTTCTGTTTCTAACTAGTTATAGATGCAGTTATGTAAACACCCAGGCAAATTGTGGCAGTTAGTTGGAACCCTTGTTTATTGAAATATACAGTGCTTTTTTTATTTAAAAAAAAAAAAAAAGGTGCCAGAACTCACGTCTTGGGGTCACACTTTTACACTAAAAAAGATTTTCAATTCACCAACTTTTTTTGAAATAAAGAACTTATTTACCTTTTGCATGTAGCCAGTCACTCTACACACACATAAACATAATGGTTGCCCCTGGCAGTAAGCACTAGAGTACAAAGAACCTTGAGTCTTATGCAGATAATGCTAACCATAGCTTAACACTATGCCTGAATGCAGCCAACATGTCCCATTAATCTGTAGCAAGTAATATTTCTGAATGGAATTACAGCTTTATGACCAGGACATAAAGTATAGCTGTCAAATGTCATTCTCTTGCTAATCTTCATGTGCACATTGTTGTGTTGTTCTACCAATGCTACCATGTTGTGTGAAAGATAAATTATGAAAAGCAATATTTGAATAAATTTTTGAAAATTGAAAGTTCCCCATGGATGGCTGAATGGTTAACATTTACCAGAATTGATACTTTTAGCTCTTCAGTCCTTTAGGTTGGTGGAAGGGTACATGAAAAATATGCGTTTAACAGGCATCCACCTGTGTACATCAGCCCTTTTATTTCATATATACTTGTTGGCCAGTATGTACACTTATTAAACTCACTACAGACAGCTAGCCAACTTCCATAATGGAGAACTGATACAGTACTGCCTATTCTACAATTAGCACACTTTAGGAGCATCTTGCCAAAGTATGATGCATATCCTTCAGTTCTTAGAAGAGTTATTCTCATGCTATACAGAGCAACTGGCAATGGGAGGCTAGTAGTAGAGGTTTAGTTCCTTTTGTATGGATACACAAATCAAATCTTGTTACCAGTCTGATTGGTGGCAAAGTGATGGGTTCTGCACTTTGCATTTTAAGTGGCAAAATGGCTGAAACCATTATTCATCTTCAGAGTTATTGCTGAAAATGCATGACAAATTATTAAAATAACGTGGTGTTCTTGCAGCTTGTAAGTTCTGACTTTTGGTTTGAAGCTAATGAGGGAGATATGGTTGATCTGAAAGAGTTTGCTGCTGTAAATTCATATTGAATTTAGCCTTTTCACTTAATCAGCCAAGCAATATAAAAATCATAAATGTTTAACAGTATCTGTGAGCTTACACTACCAGTTCAAGCCTCTTGGGGAATGTACAGAATTATTACTGTGCAGTCTACCCCAACAGTTTAACTCAACATTTCAAACATGAGGTTCATGGTGAACTTTCTTCTGACATTAGTTGTGGTTCCAGACATACTTGAAGTCTATTGGACTTACTTCTGAGTAAGCATGAATAAGATTGCAGTGCACACTACCTTACCTTCCTTTTTCCATACTCCATGTCTGTGATTCTGTCTGTGATATTTACCTGGAGGTCCCTTGAACACACTGGAATGCTCTTCAAAGTAAATATTCATAGGATTGGACTGCACATCTTTCTTCTGTCCCCCAAAATTATTTCCTTCTCACTTGCCTTTTCCTCTCTCCATTCTGGTCTTTTTTCCCAGAATTTACTCGATTTTTACTTTTTTTTTCTCTTGCCCCAACCTGTACTTCCTATTTAGCTCCTCACTTTCTGTGTGCATATACAGTAGCAACTTCACTAACATGATATGAAGGGTATGGGCAATAATATTTACAAGATAACTGGCAGCTATTGCCATGTGAGTATGTTGGTTTGTTTTTCTGCATTTTCAGGACTGAAAACTGTTGCAATTCTCTTAGTCATGCCCCAGTCTCTTGATTGACCTTTTGAAAACATCTGGTGATTTAATATGTTTCCTCTCCTCTGTGGAATCCCTCATATCAACCAAGGTACACAGATGGTTTTCCCCCCTGGGGAAAAAAGGTGAACATTTATATATACAAGTATAACAATAGAAGCCTTAAAAAATAAAATTAGGGTAGGTGGGAGGCCATCGGATGTGTGGGCAGAGCTTATAGTATAACACTGAATATTACACTAGTTTGGTTGGGGCACCGTCTTTCTGCTGCTTCTATTTCAAAGGAGATCGTGCTTATTGTTCAGCAGTGGTGTAGTCATAGATTTTGAAGTGCTGGTGTTCATCATGACAGTCCCCACTGCCATCCCTTAAGGAAAGTCCAGAAATGCAGGCATATCAGTTCTAGCAGTTTTCATCTTTACAGGAGAAGGTCTTTTGTAACGTAATGTAACTTAATTTCCCATTCAGGACAAAGCCACCCCAAAATACTTTGCATTGGATAAGGAACAATGCTACTGTGTGGTCTGTAGCTAAGTTCAGAGGGAAAGAAGAAGCATGGGAGTGGTGGGAATAGCAGATGAGGTCAACATCCACGATGGGAAAAGAAGTGCTGGTACTGTGTCCCGATTCCACTACACCATTGGTTCCAGGAAGTACTGTGTGTGTTAATACGTTTGTCTGATTAATATACAGACCTAAGCAACCCATTAAGAAACCGGCTTCAGTAACAATATTTATAACTGTATGGTGTAGTGGTTACAGTGTTGGACTGGGGACCCAGGAGATCTGACTCAGCCACGAAGCTCTCTGGGTGGCTTTGGGTCAGTCACATACTCTCAGTCTAAGGTTGCTTTTGTGAGGATACAGTGGAGATGTGGAGAACTTTGTAAGCTGCCTTGTGTTCCTTGAAGAGGAAGAAGAGGGCAGAACATGAATGTAATAATAATATATTAAATGCTTAAAAACGATTTGCCCAAGAACACTGGCTCAATGCAGATGCAAACAATATAAGGAATGAGATGCCATACGTTATTGTGTGGTAGCAAAATTTATGATTTGTTCATTAAGTTACATAATAAATAAAAATAAGTACATCTGGCAAGTTGTGTGTCTGTGGACTATTTAATCCAGGTTATTCACTTGGTTTATATTAGTTACTACATTTTAACAGAGCCTCTCCTTCATGGAGGCTGATGCCTGTATAGAGAATTATGACACATATTGATCAGCTCTAATAGGGAGGGGGTGTTCAATATTTAGATTCATGTTTCTCTCTGCCACACACTTTCTTGTTTTCCCCCTTTACCATCCTTGTTCTCTGTTGGCCTTGCTCATTTACAAATGATAATAACGTTTATATCACCTTCACACTATCCATTTTTATCATTTCCCTATTCATTTTCTTCACTTCTTCATCTGAAGGTTTCTGTAGGTAGACTAACCAACTGTTCAGAGCTTTCCACTAACACTGACTGTCCTCTATACCACTTTTCAGCAATTCTAGATCCTATTTTGTTGATACTCTCTCACACACACTTTTCTAGCTTTAGATTACTCATAATTAACTCACTGCCTTCTCTTCCATTGCGAAATATTTGACATCTTTTAAAATGAGGATAAAACTGCATAAGACAAAGATGCTCTTTTGTGTCCTTCATCTTTCCACTCTTTAATTTTCCCTTTCTTTCGGCTCAAGTGTAGAGCATGTTCTTTTTGTTCTCCAAGTATCTGGCTGACCTCCTCTAATCTGGATTGAACCTCTTCTATTCTAATATAATGACCATTCCCAAACTTCCAGTTATCTTCTTTTTCTGGGCAAAAACTATTTTCCATCCTATTTCTTGTCTGCTGACTTTACATTGTTGATATTCTCCTCCTGGTTCTTCCTCTGCGCTGCTTCTTCAGCCCTTCTTTCACTGCACAGGGATCTTTACATTCTTCTGAGTTAGGGTATTTGGTATAATGAAACCCGCATGAGTGATTCCTGCAATAAACACACTTTAAATAAATAAAATAAATAAACATACACAAGATACCTCAGTTTCACATTGATCTGCCAATTAGCACAGCTGATAAGGCAAATTTGTAGGTTGAGTTGAGGTCATACACTGGACAGCCAGGTTTTTGCATGCTTGTTTGTATCTGTTTTCCAATATACTTTCAAAATTATCCTTTGAGAACTTTGGTTCCTTCTGTTCTGCATGTGTTATCAATGTTGTGGTCATTTCTTCTTCTCCCTTTAAACTTCTATACTGACCCCTTGTGGGTTTCTATGCCACTTTCTCTATCAGTCTGTTTCCCAGACTAATGTTAATCTATGTTTAATCTCCTTTCTTGCTCCTACCCTGTTGGATGATTATATGCAACCCAGTGTTTGCCTACTCAGAAGTGATTTTCACCGGGTTCCATGGGGTACATTTCATAGTTAGTGCATTTATGATTGCAGATCTCCTTCCTTTGAGTGTGTTCCCGGTCTGTGTATCAAGTTAAATCCATCTCCTGGTTTTAATGCTTCCAAAATATCTGCTTTTCTTTTTCCTTTTTTGACAAAATGTTTTCAGGACTACCATAGATTCTTCTTTTCTTTATCAAAGTATCTTAACTCCCCCCTCCCCATGCTACTTACTATATTAGCCCAAATTTAGTTAACAGAGTAGTTGCTCTTTAACATACATGTTATTTAGCACAATCAGGATAGCAAGAGAGATTGGTGAACTAGGTGCTACCTTCCCTATTCTGATGTTTGAGTTTGTGACTACACAGCAAGAGGTTAGTAGTTATTCCACAGGAATCAGTTGCAATGAAATGGTGAAAGGTTTCATGAAATGTACAGGATCATTTTGTACGAATCATTTCTAAACTTTGTACACTGCAAAATGTTTTTATTAATATAGTTATATGAGATACCTGAAATGCAAGTGTGTTTGTATAAAAGGTTTTGTGGTGGTGACAGGCTGGTGGATTACACATTAAGAAAGCATTCTGTATTCTCAATATCTTGCTGGTCTATAAAAAAGCTTTGTCAGTATAGTTATTCTTCTGTTCTTTTTGTCTTGTCCTTTTTTTTTCTTTTTTTGAGCTGTCATCGAAATGTCCTTGCGTATACAGCATGTACATCCACTGATTAAATTTGATTTACACTTTGGAAACTATTAATGGACAGAAAAAGGATTGATCATCCAGGAAGGTGACTTTAACTGAATCCAGATGGTCTGATGACGGGTTAACCATGGAGAGTCCTGGGGGCATTTCCACAAGTGAAGTCAGGAATGCCATGCCCTTTAGCCCATAGTGTATCACTTCTGAATATGATTGATGCAGAAGAGAGCCGGGTTTCAACCAGATTCGGTTTATGTTTTAATCAGAGGTGGAGAATGTAAAAGAAAGCAGACATTTCTGGAAGCACTCAGAAGAATACTTGATTTAGTTGTTCACCCTTAATGCACCAAAGAAAAAAAGTGCAGCTAAAACAATATGGGCTGGATACTCACCTAGCTGTGTTTAGATTAAAGCCCTGAAACCAATTAAGCATAAATTAATCATGACTTTCTTGTTCTGTTGTGCCTAATGGGTCTATTCTAAGTCAAGTCTGGCTACAACGTGATGAATTTAAATAAGTGCGAAAGTAAATCAAGAAGACAGACAAACTCGAGTGTAATAGGGCATATGAAGCATATGGACAAGGGAAACTGAGATAGGTACCGAACCCGGACCTCCTTCCGACTGAAACAAACACTGGCTGGCTGGCTTGCAGCAGAACGTGGGAGTGAATGGAAGTAAAAAGAAAGGGGGACCGTGAAGGCAAAGACCCGCTTGCTCAGAGCGGGCCACATTTGCTCCCTACTGGCTTTTCCTTCTCCCCAATGTAATGTATTTGGACGGCCGGAGGGGGTGCTGGATGGTTGCCCAATCTGAGCCGCGCTCGACCCTGTGATTGACAGCTGGGCCGGGCCGGCAGCGGCGCAAGGAGGACCCGCGCGGGCTAGACGGGGCTGGAGGGGCTGCGGGGGTTGCCCCCTCCCCGCCTCCCCGGGCGAGCGCCCTCGCAGGCTCGCGCGGGGCGGCGATCCAGCCAGCCAGCCAGCCAGCCAGCCGTTCTCCAAAAAGTACAGCAGAGTCGGCGAGGGAAAGCCCTGCAGCCACATGAGCCCGTTTCTGTGCGCGTATCCGGCTTCAGCCAGAGGCGGAGACCGTCGCGGGGAAGCGGGAAGGGAGGGGAAGCTGCCGCTGCCGCCGCCGCTGTTATTGCGGTCGCGGCAGAGCTATCGGAGGAGACCTCTCCCGTCACCTTGCTCCGGGGGTGTGTATTCTTGGGCGAGGAAAGGCTGAAGCGCCGCGGGGGTGCGGGGAAAGTAAGAACTCACCGGAGAAAGGCTCTGTAGGGGTGCCGTGTTGGTATCTGGCGGGGAGGGGGAGCGGAGGCTACCGGGGAGAGGAGGGTCGCGGGCGGACAATGCCCGGTGCAAACGCGGGTGGGGGCCGGGCTGGTGCCGCTCGCCGCGCGCGCTCGCGCTCCTGGTGGCGAGGAGGAGCAGCCGGCGAAGAGGAGCGCATGCAAATTTTGGCACATGGGCTGATGCTGGAGGAAGAGGGATCTGCACAGAGAAGGCGGAGGGCGCGCGCGGTTCATGTGTTCAGTCGACAGGGGTGTGTGTGTGTGTGTGTGTGTGTGTGTAGGGTGGGGTGCGCGGGGGAATGGGTGAATCGTGTCCCTCAAATGCATGATGAACAGGGGAGCGGGCGGTCATAGGTGAGCTTTTCAGGGCCGCCACTGCAGCCTTGCTGGAAGGGAAAGGTGGGCCCATTCCTCTCGCTGGAGCGCCGTGGCCCCCTTCGCGCGTGGAAGTCCTCATGGCGGGGGGCGGCGGGCGGCGGAAACCCACCCACACTTCCAGCAAATCCTCAGAAAGCGGCCGTATTGCTTCCTATCGGAGTAGTTCCTCTCCCTCCTGCCGAGGCGCAGAAAATGCGAAAAGCAATTCGCGCTCATGTGGTAGCAGCAGCAGCCGCAATCGGGGCGCTTACCTTTCGCGGGGCATCCACGCTCGCCTGCGCCTAGCTTCTTATGGGGGTGTGACATCGTCTCCTCCCCATTTCCCTCGCTTTCTCTCTTCCCCCTCCGGCGGGGAGAGCGCCTTTGTTGTTCACGGGGAGGGCTCACCCCTCCGTCTGCGTGTTTCGCTGCGCCGCTCCCTTCCTCCTAACCCCCCGCCTCTTCCTCGCCTTCGGTGCATGTGCTACGTCGTTGTTGGTTAATTTACCCCTGTTCGCGAGTCGGATTCGAGAGCGGAGATCGTCACGTTGCAGCGTCTGTCTTACTCTTAACATGCTTTCCCCCCCACCCGCTTTCCATTTCTTCCCCCAAGGTGCTGAAAAGCCGGGGCTGGCGTCGCTGGCCGACCCCGGGACTCGGACACCGCCTGGGCACTTGAGAAGCCTCGCAGCGTGACCGCCGGTCAGAGAGCAGAGAGTTTTGCAACGAGCTTCTCCGGAGCCTTTGTATATATCGGAAAGTGGGGGGAGAAAGCGGAAGAAGAAGCGCAACCATCATCACCGAGCAGCGGCAGGCGAGACGGCGATATTGCTGCTTCCCTAGAACCACTTCAGCTGATGGCGGAGTTTGGCAGCAGGGGGGCTGGCGGCGGCGGCGACAGAGGGGGAATAACCTCCTCTCCAAGTCCTGCCCGTGGGAAGGCGGCGTTCAAAGCAGGGGATGGGGAAGGAGGAGGCGGAGGGGTGGCAAGGACCCACTCGGACAGTGCTGGCAACGGGGTCTCTAACGGGGACTGTGCTCTGGGCACCAGAGATGACACGGAGTCAGCCCAGCCTGGCAGTCCTGGCATCGAGAAAGGATGTGCTACCCTGCATCCAGAAGGCAAATCTGGCATCCCTAGGAAAACCAGCATCATCAAGGTAAGATGATATGCTGCCCGGGATTCCCTAGGATCTCTTCTTAGCTATCCTGGGAGGGGAGAGGGGCTGCAAAAAGTCCAGGCACATCTTGCATTGGATTGCCCAATTAGAAGGGTAGCAGTGAAGGCTTAATGTTTACTGGCTTATGGAGGCAGTAGAGTGTGTGTGTAGGACAGTGGGGAGGAAGGGACACAATCTGGCTGTTGAGTTACAGGCTATGTGATGGGAAAGGTTTGGTGTGTTCATCTCAGAGGGAAAGGGGCTTGTTGTCTGATGAAATTGGTTTGTGCATATATGAGGGGAGGTGGGGGGTAGGAGGCAGGAGAAGTGTACTAAAATGGAAGGGAAGGTATTAGTACCTGGTAAAGTATGAAGTGAGCTCACCAGAGCTCGGAAATTACGCAGGGCTTTGGCAATCCTGTGGGATGCTGCATGCACCTGTGCAAAGCAATTTTGAATCTTGCTGACAGATGTGCAGCAAGTGATGTGAAAACCAAGAATAAATGGAGTGAGTGAGGGAAAAGTATGAAAGCCCCTTCCCAAAGATGATAGTGCATCAATCAAGGGGACAGTTCATGACAGCTTTATTTGCCGTCTCAGGCTTTCTTAATTATTATCTTGATTTAATGTTCTGGGTATGCACTGAACAGGCTTGGAAGGAAGAGACTGTGCTGGTTGCTGAAGATAAAAGAAAAATGAAGGACTCCTGACCATAAGCTTTGTAGAGAGGACAATTAGATTGTGATAATAGTGGCAATACTCTTTAATAGCTGAACAGTATGTACCCCAAAGTTGCAATTTTGAACTGCACCAAAGTTATATAAAATGGCAGAATTTCTGTGTGTATGGAAATGCATACAGCATTTTCATAGCTAGTACTGTTTCCTTGTTAAGATGAACTCCGGTATTTTCAATAGCTTTTTCTAAGTGAAATGTTTCTGCAATGAAGTGGTTTTCATTGGGAAGTGGTTTTCAGGTTCTGCAACAAACTGCAGGATCTTGTTTTGAAAATCAAGGGGATAGCAAGGACAGGCAGCGGTATATGGCATTTGACAATCATGCACCCGCCCTTCCTGTCAGAGGTGATGCAGGTTGGTAAACACTCACAAAAGTGTGCATGTGTAACTGGAAGATTAGTGCTAGAGTGGCAAATTTCTGTTGCTTTTTCTGCAGTGTATTATTTAATATTCATTTAGCATGAAAATATTTTTAGACCTGAATCAAGTATTAATTTAACTATGTGACTGTGTTCTCCAGAGTAGGATATCATTATGCTGGCATATATTTAGAGTTGGTTAAATGGATTTCCAGTGTGTCATTTGTTTACATAGCAGTTTATGCTTGAAAAAGGGCATTGTTTGAAGCTATAGCCTGTTGTGAAGCTGAGAAATCCACAGTATGGTGATATGAGAGTGGACTTTACCTTCTGTACACAGAATGTCTTCTTATGCAGTTCACCTACCTAACTAAAAGTGTAAAACCATAGACCTATTTCCTAACATTTTTAGGCCCTCATTGTTTAGTAAATACTTAATGTTATGCATATTTCTAATTGGTAACCAGCTTTGTTTTGTTGCTGCTGTAATTTAACATGATCCGAGATCCAATGAATGCTATTTTAGGTGTGTTGACTCATGTTTATTTTTGATTGTTGTGTCAGGCAGATCTTATGTGTGTTTACTTGAAAGTAAGCAGGACCAACTTTGGTAGCCGTCACTTCCATGTTTAGAATTATAGCTGTAGGGGACTTGAAGTGGAATGTCTGGAGCATGCTCAAGGTCATTTTAATATTTGCAAGAAATCTGAAAAACTATGAGTGTCCAATTTAAAATGTGCTTTTGATTATGAATAAACATGTTTAAGGTTATGCGGCCTTGCATATGCACACATGTAACCTAAACAAATACTCAAGTTTAGTGCATCAGCTGTTAGTAAAAAGGTCACTCTAGAATATAGCTTAAAGGAACATAGAATATAATCTTTAAAGGATACAAGAGCTTGGCAAAGCACTTTGCAAGTAATGGTACTAAAGTAACTGCATCCTTGAAGCATAGTTTTAACAATGAGTATATATATTCATGTGGATCTCTTTAAAATAATCTTTTTTATAAAATAACAGTGTCTGCTGTTAAGACATTTGGAGTTCCTGAACTGTATACTAACATGGTTGCTAAAATGATGTGCCCAAACATGATATAAATGCATGCTTATGTAAACAATGAGCAGTGATTTAATTATACATGCAATGCCCACTCTGAAAGCAATAAAATTGTTATTCTGTTTCTTTTCTCTGTTATTTCTAAGGTCATTGCCTGGCTTATCTTTCCTAGTGGAAGCTGGATTTTTCTTGTTGTCCTAATATGTATGTTTCTCCTTCCTGTTCACTTTGTCTCCTACATTATGAAATCTTGTGCCTGTACCTATGTGCTACTTGGTAGTAGGGTCCCAGTTTCAGTAGAAGTGTGGGCCATTTGTATCAGCTTTGGAACGCTGATCCTTCCTTTAGAGTTAGATTCAGATTCAGATGCATGTGTGAATTCCTAAGAGTGTCACCGTAAGGATTTATAGTATGAAGATTTTCTGCTGGGAAGGGCTGGTATTTGTGTTACTTCCCTGTGGTAGACTGCCTATATGTTGTAATTCTCCATGGCCCATTTGTAACCTACAGGGTGGCTTACCTGATTGCATTGTTTTTTTTTTAATTGTGTCACTGGATTTAAAAAATAATGAAAATGGTGCAGGGCTGAAGCTTCGTGTCTATACTCTGTCATTCTTAGGAAGCTGCTTTAGCCATAGCAGTGGAACCTTTGCCCTTCTTACTCAAGTTACTGTGGCAGTGAAGAGTGGAATACTGTACTACAAGTCCTCTGAAGTTATTTTACATTGTGAAATATTATGCATACATTAATGATCTCACCAGTTTTGTATTAATCTTGTTAGTGTCTTTTAATGGAGATATTCTTTCAGTTTCCATTTCTTTGCAAGTTGAATAATGTACGATTGTACATTACATTAATAGTTTTAGTTCCGTAAAACTGGATAGTTTGCCAACCACATATATCGTTATCCAGTTGAGAGGTTTTTTTTCCTGCTTCTAAACCCCCTGGTGGGCATAACTTTCTTCTTTGAAATGATTTCTGCATGCATGATGTCATGCCTCAATATCCTTCTGGATAAGGCATGAAACACTTCTCTGTGAAGATCCTGTCGGTAGGGTATTAAACAAAATTTCTACATTTTATGTATAATGGAAAAGCAGCAGTGTTTTCTCTGTTTATGCTTCCCCTTCACCTTATGTAAATTTAGAGTTCAATCCTGTGCATGTTTAGACAGAAAACATGTTCTACAATTGTAGCATTCCCCAGCAGACCTTTTGTGTCTCATTGTGCATTGGGTTGCATCTTTAGTATATGTTCTGAATTGGTCCTGGACACAAACATCACAACAAACAATGTGTTTGTTACTCCCATTTTGTTATTTTATGGTTGACATTACCATTCATGTTGTACTTTATGTCACTCTTTCTGATATTGTTTCTGAACACTTCTGAAACACTGAATGCTGTTTAAAAACCAGAAAATAGGAATAAGATACTGTGTTCTCTCTCTTTAAAATGCAATACAGAGTCTGCCCCTTATTCAAGCAGCTCAGGATGGTGTGTACACTCCCCATTATCCCCATACAGTAGTGGTTCTGTACTTGTCAGGTGAGGCTGGAAGGTACTGACTAGCTTCATGCAAAGTACAGATTCAAATCTGAGTCTCCTTGTCCTAGTCCAATATGCCAGTCCCTGCACTGGCATTCCCATTCTTTACCCCACCATTGGTTAAGAAATTATATAAATCAAGAACAAAGGTGGGATATAAAGATAATAAAGAAAAATATGTGAATGGACACTTTGACTGGTTAATATAAATGAATCACTGTAAATAAACTGACAGGTTATCATCCCAAAAGACCGCTAGTGAAAATACTGCAAGTAAAAACTACAAAAAATTTATAACCACTACTGTTTTACATAGGATTTTACCAGGTGTCATATATGCTTTAATTATAAGGTAATATAAGTCTTTAGCCTTTTATATATGTACAATGCTACAGCAGATCAACTTCCTTTCTCAAAAAAGAAGCAGTGTTCTGCTGATCCTTAAAAAGCTTGGTGACATACTCTTCTTGAACAGAGATAGAATTATCCTTCCATACTGATTTGTGTATGAAGGCAGGAAGAACAGAAGAACCCATCAAGAAAATGGTCAAGAGCTCTTATTGCTAACTGTTGTTCTCTTCACCTTTGGTCCCAAATGCTTAGAATTTCTGAAACAATTCCATTAACCATTTAATATAAAGAAGGTGCAAATCATTTTTTGCAATGTATGAAGCTGAGTTTATTGTAGTACTATGTTACAACAAAAGTAGTTGATGAATCATTCAAAACTGTCTGCATTTGTTTAAAAAAGAATTGTTTAGTCTATGTAAAAATAAAATGCTGTAACAAAGGACAGGAATTCCTCAACTTAGTTGCCAGTCTCTGTTTAGACTGGACTTGGCTTGTCAGTAGATCTTGTTGTTACCGAAGTCCCTTGTTTACACAAAAGCTACCTAAAACTCAGGAAACAAAACCCAAAGAACACACTTTTGGAAGCAGTCTAAAATGCCCACATATAACGCAAATAAGCATTTGCCATTAGCAGTGGACTCAGGTTTTAAAATGCCACAAAGAAGATGAATGCACTTAGCACAGTCCTAAATGTATATGACATAGAAGTTTTATTTTTACAAAATAATCTTCTATCTAGTAAATCTAGTAAATTATAGTAAATGCTATAATACAATGTGTTTGGTCCATGTGATCCGTTCTGTAGATGTTTAAAAACAATGTAAGAACCTGTTCTACAGTGCTTTACTGGTAATAGCAGACGAGAGATGCTTGCTGGCGTGAGGCATCGCCCCAGAAAACCTTTCACATAAGTGCTATTGCTGTTATGCTAGAGGTTGCTTAT